TTCGCCGCCATGATAGAGTAGTAATTGTCGTTTGAACTTAAGCCAATTAATATTCATATCGCCTGTAGTGCAAAGATTTGCGAGCGTCACGTTTCCTATATTTGTAGACGACGCCATTGTACTTTAATCTTTATACTAGCTTGGTTATATCTTTATTATATTCAAAATTTCAAATTGCTCAGAAGTTATACTCCAATTATTTTAGTTTTACCTCTTGACCGCTGTCACCATGTTGTATTAATAAAGCACTCACATATTAAAAGAATAGTTTTATTATACTTGGAAAACCTCGCATGCGTACATGCAATCAAAAAGTAGTATCTGTATATAGATTATAGAATAGTTACATAGAGTATTAATCAAATCATCATAGACAAATATTATAATAGTTAATATACGCATTTATACAGTTTTAGTAGAATTCACCCGGGCTGCAACAGCTGTTTAGAAAAAAACGTGGTTCTCTCTAACGCTTTCTCCTGTACTGTAAATCTATTAAACATCACAGACACATCACAGATATCACTATTATTCAGCGTTGAGTAGTACAGTACTCTATCAGCTGCAAAAGCGTATGTTTATGAACACAAATAATGCAGTTTTCTGAATAAAATCCCACACGTGTACTTTTAAAACGTTACATTAAAAGAGAGAACATGTGAACTACTATTAAGTCAGCAGTTACTTTGTGAAGTTATATAATAATGAGTTAATGCTTCATGCTGCTTACATATAAACTTTAACCCTATTAGTCAGGTGTTACTATAAACTCGTATAACAGCTTTTATGTAGACCAAGTCAGACCTTAAAGTGGACTTTTAAGCAATCGCATAGCAGCAAGTCTTGAGCTGAATAATTGGACTTGTGTAGGCATTTAGTCTGCTCATTGAATTATATGTAGCCATGAAATTTATATTTCTACACCAAGCTGTTTTGACAGATTCTTAATGTGTTTTGTTGTTTTACGAAATGTGGGAAGCGAAAAAAAGAACTGGTGGAATACGCCGTTAAATTAAAGCTGAATACTTAAAAATTATAAATGGAAATGCGGAAAAAAACCAACAACGGAGCAGTTTAATGAGCCTTTGTCAAAACACAACAGTTTTAGAAAGTTCGGTATCCGAATCTAGACGCAATATTGGTGTGGAAATACATGGATTAAATTACGATCATCAAATTACGGCAATAGAGCATCTAGATTTAGATGGAACAACGGCTTTTTTATCCGAATCTAACATTAGTAATTGCCAAGAGTCAGCAATGGCATATCGAACATTGGAGGAGGTGGGTTCTGTAGGTAATATTTATGAACAAGATAGTCTCAACGATTCAGATAGTTCAGATACGAGTATTTATGATATGGATATGTATGATAAATAACAGGAATTTCAGTCAAAAATAAAAAAATGGACCATATCAAAAAATATTGCACATACAGCCTTGAATGATCTAGCAAAAATAATAAATGATTTTGTTCCATATACATTACCCAATGACGCCAGAACCATTTTAGGGTCACCCAGAATTATCACTTTGAAAAAAAATAGTGGAGGTGAATACTGGCACAACGGAATATTAATACCTATAAAAAAAATTTACTTAGCTAGGATGACGCTCCAGAAAATATTACATTGAATATAAACTTCGACGGTTTACCAATTTTTAAAAGTTCCAAGAATGAGTGTTGGCCAATTCTGTGCAACATTTTCGAAAATCCATGCTTCAGTCCTTTTGTGATTGGTATTTATTTTGGACAAGGTAAACCGAAAAGTTTAACTGAATACTTGGAAGATTTTATTAATGAAATAAAACCGTTACTTGAAAACGGTATTTATATTCAGAGTTGTGGAAGGAAATTTACAATAAGGATAAGTTGTTTTATATGTGATTCACCTGCTAGAGCTTATATAAAAGGTATGTACTTATAGTATATTTTAATACAAGAGCAGATGATTTATCATTGCGACCGAGGCGGAAACTGTACGAGCCGTAAGCATAATTATAGTAGGGGAGCCCACGATGCTAAATCGGGATTTACTCGAGCGTCATAGAGACCTATTGGGTTGCGAAGCTTATATGATAACAAAAAAAATGTCATATAATATATACCTTTTCATCGGTGGGGGAAGAGGCTATTGATTTTTGAAAATATAAAAAAAAACTGTTGTATGGACATACTCGAGCGCGTCAGATATTAATATCATCCATGTCCTACGCATTTTTAAAAACTGTCGTATGTTAATCTGATCGTTTCCATGATGGGGGTGGTTATAAGTAAGGGTTGAAAATGAAAAAAAAAATTTTTTTGAGGGGATGTCAAGTGAACCTAAAAAAAAGCTCTCATATAATAATCTGACGATTTGGATGTAACGCAAACGCGTGACCATTATTAGAATATGCAAAAAAAAAATCGCCATTTTGAAATACTCAAGCGCGTCAGATTAAGATATATATGGTTCATTTTTATGCCCCAGACGTGATATCTCATAATCTGACGATTATCTGAAGGGATTTACTTAATCTGACAATTAAATATTTTTTATTTATTTTTTTTCAAATCATTGAGCTTAATTAAATAGAAAAGCACCGGAGTTAGCATGCAAATTAAAAAGTGTATGTTTTTTATGTAGAATATTTATATTTATAAGAAAATTATTATATGAAAATTTAATTTTTACAGTATTTTTTATTAATTATCATCTTCATCGCTAGAATTATCTTCCTTTTCTTCTCTTAGTAAATATGTAAAAAGTTTAATTCACAAAATTAACATTAAAATAACAAAATAAGCAAATACCTTGGAAATACGATGTAAACAATATCACTCCACGAACGAGTCTTTGTCATCAGTTGTCATGGCGTCATGGCAACCGAAACCAGAGTGGGGACGGAGTGAGAGAGTAATAGATAGAAAAAGAGTGAGAGGAAAATAGTGATGCGGAGAAGGAAATATAGGTATCACGTAGCTGCACGCATTAAATCTTATCGATGAATTTTTATTACTTCGGCTTGTGAAAATCGTCAGATTATATATTTTTCGTAATCCTTGAATGATTCCCTTCAAAACAAAAGAAAAATTAGCCACACTCGAGAATGTCAAAGTGACGTTTTTTTTTACAACTTTGTAGCCTTCCCACTTCTTTACGTCACTCTCAAATTGTCAGATTAGAGGTATGTACACCTTTTAGCATGTAACTAGCTCACCTTACCTTAATCTGCCGCGCTCGAGATTTTCAGATGATCAATTTTTTTTGACTTATCTGATCCTTCGTCCTTGCCGGGCGGCCATTTTTATAGGGCTCATACTTGGTCCAGGTACTTAACTGGGTACAAGGTATCCCCCTGTATATTAATCTGCCGCGCTTTAGTAAATCCCGAAATCCCCGCTTCGGTTCCCCTACTATTACTGTCTATTTAGATGATAAACTCGCATGAAATTAATAATACTATATTAGAATAACAAAAATAATCTTGTTTTTTTTTAGGTGTTTGTAATTTCAATGGTAAATATGGTTGTTTAAAGTATGTGACAGTTGGAGAGTATTCACACACTTCGCATACTGTTGTATTCTCCGACACGAGAAGTCCCGAAAGGAGTAATGAAGGGTTCCGGAATAAATTATATGGTGCACACCATAAATGTGACTCGCCATTGTTAAGTCTACCAATTGACATGGTGGCCAATTTCCCAGTAGGCGATTCAATTCATCTCATTGATTTAGGAATAATGAAAAGATTACTGATTGACTGGCGTGACGGCAACTTTGGAAAGTACATTACGAAATGGCGTGCGAGCGATACTGAAGCAGTTACATTGTTTTTAAACCAATGTAAATTACCCTCTGAGATACATCGTTCAGTGCGAGGGCTTGATTCTTTAGCGTATTGGAAAGCGTCAGAATTTAGATCGTTTTTTTATTATCTTAGCATTGTCATTTTACCTGATGTTTTAAGTCCTGATGCTTTTTCACACTTTTTGACACTCTACTGTGGAATAGGAATTTGTTCCAATACAGCTTATCAATACTTGTTACCACGGGCAGAACAACTTCTGAGATATTTTGTTCAAAATTACATATCCGTTTGAGAACAAATTGTACATAATCAAAAGAATGCTGAGAGATGATAAAAAATCCACTTTCACAGGTGGCCAAAAAACTAACTGAAGATGCGGAGAACAATGGGATGAATATTCACCTTAAAAAAAAAAAGAAAAACTAAATATCCATACATATTTAAGAGTAAGAAAAATATTTGCTCTCTAATTTTTCGGAATATTGTATCGTCTTCTAAAAAAAAAGATAGATATTTTTTAACGGTTCAAAATGATATAGTTGAAATTGAATAAATTTAAGAAGTTAATAGTATTGTCTCCATAAAAAGTTTCCTGTTGAATAACGAAGAAGTGTTTGTCTATCCAATAAAATCATCCCGACTTGGAATATACAAATCTAATAGCCTTAAAAATTGCGATACTAGTGTGGTTATATTAAGTCCTAAATATATAAAGTGTAAATTTGTTTGTATTCCTCATAAAGAATATCACTATTTCATACCGCTAGGACATACTGTTTGAAAATAATATACAGCATTGCTTACTGATTGTATAACTTTTATTTTCTTTCCTCATTTAAAAATACAAATTATTAACAACATAATCATAATATATAATCGCAATATCTTTCAGACACATAATCATATTCATTAAAAATCACAAACATATTAGGAACGAACTACTAATAAGCCCTTATTAGTAGTTCGTTCCTAATATTAGTATCTTTTAGTATCTTCCCTCATTCAAAAATATATTATTAACTTAGAATTGTTTAATAATTTCGGACACAACATAATCATATTCATTAAAAAACCACAAAATTACTAGGAACGAACTACTCGTAAGAGTGCCTTCAAATTAGCCATGAAGTAAGTATCGGGAAAGCGTTGCTATTTTTCGGCATCTCGTGGCTAATTAAAAGGCACCCTAAAACGTCAAAGAAAAGTTACTCTCTAGGCACTTCGTTGTTACTATCCCCATCTCTTAGATTTGCGTCATTGTCATCAGTTGTAGCCTCTTTCGTAGTAATGCTATTATTGATTTCAAACTGGTTACTATCACCGTCTGTGTTGCCTTCAGGCACGATTAGTTTTCTGGACTTCCGGACACGCTTTGTTGATTCTCGCAAGCCTTGCATAGATTTGCGCTTGGTCGCGTTCCTTAGAACGAGTTTAAAAAATCTTATCATTTGATCATCAGTAAAATTCGGATCCCACATGTGCACAATTTAAAAAAAAATCTTTTTAAATTTCTTGAAATCTTTCATCGGTATTTTTGAGTGTTCATTTTTGCTTGCCCCCGACCAAGAGCACTGGCATAAAAAATCCTTCGTGAATAAAATGTCTATTAACTTATAGGCACATGTTTGGCCTTCACCCTTCTTACATGAATATAAAGTTGATAAACATTTGACTAATTTTTTCCGTTGCACTTTGTCAGCTAAAGTAAGCTCAAACATTTCAAAGTCTTCTTTAGTTTCGATAGCTTTCAAGCTGAAACTTTCTCGTTCTTCCGATGACGCGTCTTTAAGTAATGTAACGTTACATTGTTGTTCTTGTTGCAATTGTCTGGTTGATTCATTTGTTTCATCCAATTGTACTGATAAAGATGCCAATTTTTGTCCATTTTTTTTTTTATTTTCTATTATAAGGTTTAGTTTTTTGAAATAACAGTTTGATTTGCCAACATAATGTCAGAATTTACTGAGGTAATTATTTGTACTGTCGCCTGTTGCTCAACAACTTGCAAGGTCTCTTCTTGCACTGATTCACAATTTTTGATTGAAGGTTCATACGCACCAGGTTGTGAATATATCTGTAATAATAAAAAATAATGATCGTTTATAAAACTTAAATAACAAAGGTAGAAATAATAGGTCAAGCTTTATTGCGATGTGAGATAAAATTGTGACTTAACTATATGGGCTGAGTACAAGTTGTTTTTACGCTAACGCGATCGAACGAAACGTTTAGGCCCCAGTCGTTTTCACCCGCTGTCCGCAACGTGTGAACGAGAACGACCATACCCAAACATTTTCATTCATTGAGGACGCCGCGAGTGACGGGCCGCCACCCGCCGCGGACAGTGGATGAAAACGACCACAGCCTTCCCACGTTTGGCACTCGATTGGTTAAATCAACCTGACCCTGATCATTAAATTGGAAAGAAAACTCACAAGAAAAACCTGAATTTTGCGGGCTGTGATTACAGCTCATTTTTACAAAAAAAAAAACAAACACCTGTCCATTCCTAACCTACGAAACAACTTAAAAAAATCTCACCAAATTTTCGGCCATTGCTTCAAAGTTAACCTCGTTTTCCTTTGCTTGGCAGGTTTTAGATGAACCCGGAAAGTTCATACATTCGTTTTCCTGGTTATCTGTATCAATGTTTTGTTCCATGTGACTTAGTTCTCTATTAGCATCTTCATAATTACGAATGTTATTTCGTAATTATGAAGATTACGAGTTTTAATATGCATTCTAGGGTAACCCACCCTGGTCCGGGCCTTGGATGTTTATCTCTTATCAATTTCAGCGGGTATTTTGTATTTCTCGACGGCCACCGTAGGACGCACAGTGTTTTATGAGACCTAGAAATCGGACATGTACCTGTTTTTCCATTATTGTATAGAGTTTCATATCACAAATGCACCTGTAATAGTTTCGCGAAATAGTTTCGCGCCGATCTTATATAGTTTAGGAGAAAAAAAATATTGAAAATTGGCAATTTTTTGCACCTGAAAATTAAAAAAAATATATTGCAAGAAAACCGTACGCGTTTGAAATGCACTGGTGTTACACCTAGAAAGATCTCAAAAATTAGCTTTATCAGAAACCATTTTGAGCTTTCCAAAGTGTACTGTTGCAAAGATATTAATTTTTTTCGATTTTATTTCAACATTTTTTTCCCGCGGTTTTCTAAAGAATCCGGATCCAATTTTTAGTTTAATCCATAGCATAAGACTCTATCTATGCTTAAAAAAAAACTGCGTCCGTATCTCGTGGAAATTCTATGTAATACGCATTTAAAAAATATACCGTGAAAGTCAGGGTTGTCACTGAACCGAAAAAAATATTTATCCGTTACTAGGTAATAAAATTTCCTCGTCACAAAATATTAACTTAGAGTTGATTTTAATTTGATTTTGTTGATTAATATTATTTGTTTATATATAAAATACGTTACAAAACTAACTTTCTTGGAAGCCAAAGACTCCTCGAGAGCCAGCTTATACGGAGACCCACTCAAAATATCTGACTTTGCTCTTTTGCGGTTCGATCTTGAAAGATATTCAGCTCGTGGAAGGGGGGCTAAATTTTCAAGGGGTATATGAGGCGATTCGATGCTTTGAATAGGAAGACTGGCAAGTGGTGTACGGGCTCTATCTATCTCAATGAACGGCTGAACAGACGACGTATCATTTGTTGAGCACGAGGGCTGTGGAGAATTGCTGGGAGCGTTATTCTCATGGTCAACATGTTGTACCAAATCATCAGTTGGTTGGGAAATCCGTGCTTCATTAGATTTGGCCAAAGGCATATTTTCTGGTAGATCGCCAGTTGGTTGAGAAATCTGTGCTTCATTAGATTCTGTCAGTGGCTTTTCTGTTACTGCACTGGCCAGGAAATCTTCTTCTCCAAAAATGTCCGGGTTGAACGGTTGGATTCCGGATATCTTGAAACTCTGGATGCCATTTGCCGGAGAAGTTGCTTTAAGGTAAGCCGGAGTCAATATTTGTGCAATCTGATAAACGGTTATCACTCGACCGGGATGGTTACGCATCCATTTTTCACACTCTGATGCATAAAAAATTTTGAGGTTGTTATGGATGCAGCGATCGAGTGGTTGAGTTTTATGACTGCTGTGAGGTGGGATTGTCAAGGCATGAATGTGGTTTTGCCGGAAGAAATTGACCGCGTCTAACGTGCAGTGTGACGTGTGATTATCTAGGATTAATAATACTGGATGGTCTTTGCTAGGCTTTGCGTGGTCTTTAAAATGAGATAACCAGTCAACAAACAAAGAACTGTTGATGTAACTCGAGTCTGACACCATTCCTATAGAAGAAGGTGGGGCTCCATCCAAAAGCTCAGCTTTCATACGTTTGCGTGGAAATATGAAGGCTGGTGGAATAAAATTCCCAGCAGCGTTGACCGCATTCACGAGTGTCACATTGATGCCACGTTCAGCACTGGAAATCTTGTTGACGCAACGCTTCCCTTTAGTAGATATCACCTTTGGAGCTTTATTTGGCACTGTGGAGATTCCGGTTTCGTCCATATTATAAATTGCATGAGGAGGGAACTTGTAAGTGTCTAGCAACCTCGCCAGATTTTCAAAATAGCGATCGCATTGAGGCTTATTAAATCCTATAGCACGAGCAACGCTGGTGGAGGTTGGTGCTCTTAACGACAAATTTGGGTGCCGTTTCAAAAAAAGGCGGAGCCACTCTGTACCAGCCATTTTTTTTTCTTTGTTAAAACGATGTTCTAATCCATTCTTTTCAGCAAAATTATAAGCAATTTCTCGTATTTTTTGAGTGGTTAATCCATAGAACATGCTATCTACTTTTTTGATATAGTTACAGAGTTCTATTTCCATTTCACGGGAGAAGGTTTGGGAGTATCTGCCCAAACTTGAAGCTGGAGACGATCTCTTAAGTCTCTTTCGCAAAGTGGCTTCATGCATCCCCAAGGATTTAGCCACTGACCTCTTCGATTCGCATTCCTCGACGCGAGTTTTAGCGTTGAGCCACTGCTCTGGAGTACAAAGTTTTCTTTCACTTTTTCTTTGACGTCTAGACATCTTGTGTACAAAATTAAAAATTACCTACAAATTTCATATATTTTTATTTAATTATTAGGAACAAAATAACTAATAAATACAGTAACTAAAGTAACTTAAAAACAATTGCGTGTAAATATACGGTACAGAACTGCGTACTCATACACACTATACCCAAATCGGAAACGAACGAAACTCAACGCCATCTCTTGGCGTGAACCGGAATTACGTGCGCTGCATGAGTTGAACATTGCCTTTGAAAACTACACAGTTTACTTCGTTTTCAGAAATTAATTACATTGATGTCTTAAAAATACTTTCAAAATGGTAAAAATAATTAGTATTTTGAGCACAAATCTTTAAACTTACGTAATTTCTTTGTTTTCATCCGGATTTGATTTTTTTTTCGCACAGCACTTTTTCACACAGTTGAAACCAAAATACGACTGATGTTAGCTGATTATCGTGACGAACTTCACGGCTATGAGTATTGCGTACTCTTATCGGATGCGTGCTCTTAGACCAGGTTACCCTAATCCCGTAAAATAGTTTTAGTCATAATACCTATTATGTATAATGCAAAAGCACTTGACAGATTTTTTTTGTTTTATAGAGCGAGTTTATGGAATAAAGAGGAAGGACTAGAGAAATTTAAGAAAATACATATAATTTCTCAATTTAAGAAATAATGAATGTTAATATGTATGTACAGTGTAGATTAGAAAATGCACATCATGGCTATCACTAAAATAGATATATGGTTTAAACAAGTAAATCAATAAATATAAAAACATTAAAATACTATATTATTATTTACCAAAGAATATCCATGTGGTTGTCTTAGTGCCAAGTACTTTCCAAAGTATGTTTCAATTGATGCATCGTTTGATCCATACAAGAAGTGGGCTCTTATTTTTTGAGTCCTTTGCCACTTTTCCTCAACCAAATACCAAGGATCAGCAGAGTTTTCAAGCCAGAGTATATCATCTTTTATATCCTCTTCATTATCCTCTTCGCCTATGAAAATATCTGGTATGGGCCTTGGAGACGGGTTTGATTCGGTATATGTAGGGCTCTCTTCTCTACTACGTTTCCTATTGACCATTGGTAAAGCTCCCAAATTCTGTAGGTGTCTTCGCTTTTTTAGTACTTGATTTACAAGTTTACCCTTCGCTTGCAGGACAATACCATTTGCTGTAGTGCACGCTGGGATATAATATGTGGTTGTTCTCTCTCCACGAAAGAGCTCTTTAATGTAATTAGCCCATTTGTAATAAATAGCACCACTAATTGGTGAATTTTTGTTTTCATTAAGTATTGCCTTTGCAATAACAGCTGACAACAAATTTCTTGCACTGTCTCCTGCAAGCGATTCCACTAAAAGCTTTTCCAATATCTAAAAATAACAGTAATTAATGATTTACTTATTTAATAAAAATTTGAAAATTAATGATATAAAAATAATAATTATTTTTATATCATTAATTTTCAAATTATAAAAAGGATGCACTAGGCACAAATAATAAAGAAACTAAAAACAGAAAATTAAAATACAGATGAAATTGCTTACCATGCACTGAGAACTCTCCCCAAGCAATGTTAGATTTGGATGCAAATTTTCCTTTTCTTGTAATGGTTCATTAATTACAATTACTTCTTTAGTAATAGATTCAAACAAAGATAAATCCACAGTCTGAAAATGAGAATAGAATCAGAAGTAAATTGTATCTAAAACTTAGTAAGGCAGACAAATTATGCACTAGACACTATTAGTACAATGATGATCCACTCAAAATCATTATCATCATAACAGTCCACTGCAGGAGTAAGGGCCCATCCACATTAGTAAAGGGTTTTGATATAATCTCAATCAAACAGTACTGTTGCCTACTTTCTATTCAATTTGTATTCCCTTGGTCGGCTCTCACGACACCCACGGGAAGAGTAGTGGGTGACAATTGTATTCTATTCTGCCATAACCACACTCAATCCATTTGCTTATTAATATAATAAAAAGACATACCTACTGTCAATTATGAGCTCAATTTATTAGTAATCTACATTATGCATTTTATAACTGAACATGTGTATTGAAAACTATTTCAGATAAAAATAAAAGTAGGTAGGTAATGTCTTACAGACGAAAACTCTGCCTTCCACGACCTCCAGCATCTCATGAATAGGGATCTGGGACCCGTCAGCGGAATTAATTCTTTGATGTCTGCATCTGTCAGTGCTGATAAGGCTTGTATAGTTATTTGTTTTTCTGGAATTGATAATTTGCTGTCCGTAAATACAGATTTCAACAATACAATGATAATGTATTCTACAGCTATTGTAATTCATTACGGTGTCGGTAGAGCATTAGTAACAGCCGAGTCGACCAACATAAAAAAACTTAATTCTATGTGTTAAGAATTGATACTGTTCTGACGTAACGCCGGGTTTCCAAAGCCTGTCTTTTCGCAGACCAGATCGAGGCAGGGCAGGCCGGCAGGCCGTGGGAACGATCGCGCACCCGATGAGGCTTGTGGTGGTCTGACGTTGCCCGTCCGATCCGTCGGAGCTCGGTTAGTTCAAAATGGTTCGGCACAAGTCGCAACGGGCATCGACAAGCGTAGCGCAATCCGGCCTAGCCTTTTTTAGCACGGGCATTACAACTCTTAACACAACACAACTCTGAACAAAAACAAACAAGTAGGCACCCACTGATGTGCAGTAAAAATCACCAACGAGCCAACGACGCGCACGACACGAGCGATAAGAATAGATTATACCTACTCGGTCACACCTCGCACCTACGAGCAAATGCGTGGGTAACACATAAAAGGATGAAGAAGCCCGCGTTGCGCCCGCCGCCGCGTCGCCCCACAGGCGGGGCGCGGCGCCTCATAAAACATGACCACAGTATTACCACTGTCTAATAATAATAATAATAAAATCCACTGACATGGATAAAGTATAGGTACCAGCATCAACAATTTTCTAGATCCACTCGTTGGACACTCGTAGAATGAAACCGGACTCAGCGAATTTCTGTTCGTGGTGAGCACATGGGTATAATTACGTATATAAATATGATACTTACGTAGATTTACATCACACAGTATGGAACACAGACAAAAAGAGTGAAATACTTACTGTTAAACTCCGGAATAAGTGTATCCAACTCCCACGTTTTGAGAAGTTCAGAAACCTCTTCCATTTTCGTTTCTACTTTCCCAACAGCTTGCTTCGATCAACGTAAGCGCACGCAACAGGCAGAGTTCGCGCTGCAATAGAAAACAGGTTTTTACTTGAAACCAATGTTGCCAGACTGTGCTGCCAAAATTACCGATTTAGATTGGTGTATAAAAAAACGCTTCTAATCTAATTTATTTGTAGATATTATTTTTTTAAGCAGAATATTAATGGTTCTACTTGAATTGTTATACACCTATTTAGCTTAAAGTAGGAAAGAGATTGTAATGGTGTGAAAATAATTACACGCAATATTTATGACGTGCTGTGAATTTCTTAATATATATAAATGTTATGAAAATATTACGAGCGACAAACTGTTACCGTTATTAATATTGAGCAAAAAAATATTGGCATTTTGTATTTGTTGTTAAAACGGCAACAAAAATACTTTGAGTGTAAAAAAAGACATCGCGATAAAAGTTGTGGTGACATTAGCGATTTCAATATTTTGTCTCGAACTATCTGCATTGATTCAAAAGATGCCTTAATTCATTTTCAAGACCTTAGCTTAGGATGTAATTTATTTTTTGTTCCTGTTTCATAATTTTGTAAGGATTTTAGTACCAGTTTAGAATGTATAAAAGGTAATTTATATGAAGCCGCATGAACTTGTTTGACAGTCTTAGTCAAATTAGGCTCGTTGTGGTGTTTGTGTTTTGCTCAGCTTTGAATTAAAAAAAAATAGAAAATCAACTATTACAGATGATAGTTGATTTTCTATACTTTACAATACAAAAGTGACAGATAGACAATACAAAAATGTCAGGTGAGAATCAAATTTGACAGTAACTTTTTTTAAATAAACCAAATGGTGGTCTTGTATTGTTATTGACTTAAGTAGTCCGATTTAGTTTTTCCTAATTTTCTCAATAAATACTGATCCAAAAAAATTTAAATACTTTATATGAGTAGGGGATCAAATTCCGAGGGGATCAAGACCTCCGAATGTTTTTTTTTATTTTGGTACTTTGTAAATATGACATGTTATAATACAACCGTTTATGCCATAATATCTCTTACTTACACATTAAGCAAGGTAATCAAAATCTATGAAAATTACATTAAACTCAAATAAAGAAAAATAACGTTTAAAAATTCGCTAGTTCTCATGACTTTATCGCTAAAATGGCAACACTACCTTTACGTCATATCCTGCAGCAAGATGCGTCGGCGATATCCTTCTAGAAGGCTCAAAATCGCGAGTTGATTCAAATAAGTAGTATTTCAATCAACTGAGTTTTATAATCATTTTAGTAAATTGACTTAATTGAGTTGACTAAATTTTTTTGTTGTTTTCAAGATCTACTTTCTTTGGTTTTATCAACATATCTTCGTTAAATCAAATGCGACAAACTTATTACTTTAACAACAAAAATCGACAAATCAATTACTTTACTTATTTATTTTGAATAGTTTGTATGGATTGATTCAACACACTCGCTCTTTGTTGGCTTTCCCGTTATTTAGAGCAGGAGTAGCGTTCATTTTCTTAGTTCCATTAAATAAGTAGGTATTTAAATCTACTGAACATGATAATCATTTTAACGAATACATTCTTAGTAGAATGAAACATTTACTTTTAATTTATCCAATAAAATCAAGTAGTTACAATGACACATTTTCGTTGTTGATTTGACCAAATAGTCTTTGTTATTTTAAAAACAAAGGGTTTTCTGTGGTTTTATTAACGTTCTTTGTTAAATCAAATACGAGAAACTTATTACTGCAACAATAAAAATCGTCTAATCCAATACTTTAACTATTTAGTTTGATTAATATGTATAAATTGCTTCAACATACTTAGTCGTTAAATTTAACTATTAAAAATAAATTGATTCACACAAAAAATTCAACACACTCGCTCTTTGTTGGCTTTCCCGTTATTTAGAGCAGGAGTAGCGTTCATTTTCTTAGTTCCATTAAATAAGTAGGTATTTAAATCTACTGAACATGATAATCATTTTAACGAATACATTCTTAGTAGAATGAAACATTTACTTTTAATTTATCCAATAAAATCAAGTAGTTACAATGACACATTTTCGTTGTTGATTTGACCAAATAGTCTTTGTTATTTTAAAAACAAAGGGTTTTCTGTGGTTTTATTAACGTTCTTTGTTAAATCAAATACGAGAAACTTATTACTGCAACAATAAAAATCGTCTAATCCAATACTTTAACTATTTAGTTTGATTAATATGTATAAATTGCTTCAACATACTTAGTCGTTAAATTTAACTATTAAAAATAATTGATTCACACAAAAAAATCCAGTAATGATGGATACGATAAATATATTTGATAGAATTAATCAAGGTTACCAAATTTTTAATTTAACCATACTTTGACTAGTTGTTTCAATGTTTCAGCTTTGATTGATTTATATAAATAAATAATTGTTTCATTCAATATTATGTCAACCAAGAGGAAATCGCTCTTTTTTGGCCTCCATTTTTTAGAGTGCAGTTCTTGTGTTGCATTCTGTTCACAAAATTGTGATACATTTGCGTCACAAGATTCTACAATGCGTTCAAACGTATGCTGTAAAAGTCCTTGCAGAGTAACGCTGGCTTCAATTTCAGTGACTTGTACTTCCTCTAGAGGGTGGGTAGCAAGATTTTTTTATTTCTAAAACTTTGTGGTAAGGTGGAAATACTGAACAATTCCTTTCTTTTAAATCTGTTTGTAAAAACTTATAAGTGTCGACTGTTAATTTTTTGTCTATAATTACAGCCAAAGCTTCTTGTGGTGAATAGGGCTGAGGTGAAGGTTGCCGAATCTTGTTCGCAATGGTAGTTGATCCTGATTGCAAGCACTGATCAATTACGAATTCGAAGTCCTTCGCAACTTTAGGCGACATTTTTGTACTTTCATCGGAGCCACACATTGATTGTACAAATGCCTTGATTTTTTTTTGCCTTAGGCTCTTCAGCCAAATTAGCTTCGAGTTTTCGCCGACAACGCAATTGCTGCCGTGTACTTAGATTAATGAATTGAACTGACTTTGGTGATAGTTCAGTATCTTTAAGCTTGCCTTGTAAAAAGACTATATTAAGCCAATCCTTACTTTTTTTGTCGTTTTCAAACAAATTCATTTTGTAGTGATTTTTCTTATAAATGGCATCGCATTTAGTAATAAGCAGAGCAATAGCTCGTGTTAGCTCTTTATTTGACATTGACGGTTCATATCCTTCACCAAGGGCTTTTAAAACAGCTGCACATCGATCGGGTACCGGTAAATCCAAAGGTCGCCATTTACTATTAATTTGTTTGCTTTCCTTAATTAGGAGTTTGTAAACTTCTAGTCGAGTTAGTGTTACTGATGTGTCCGATCTTCCGCCTTCACCACCGTTGTCCTGCTGAGAGGATCTTCCACTGGTTCCACCGTTGTCATCCAGTTCTCTTCGCGTATTTGCGAACACTGAAGACTGAAGAAAAGCGTGAAATAATACCTCCATTTGTTGTTTAAACGCCTTTTATTTCCGTTTAACCTGCATAAATAAGAATAAATAATAATATTGGTCAACATTGTATACATTGATCCGATCCTATGGTAAGTAACTAATGCAACCTGTATTACGGTATTCGGAAACAATAGTAGTACCACAACACCTAGACCTGAGACAATATCAAAAAGTTCGCTTTCTATATTGACCCGACCGAGAATCGAAACCAGGACCTCAGAGAAAGCGTCACCTTAAAAGCCGGCGCGTACGCATCTCGACCGCGGAGGTCGTCAATAAGGTAGGAGGTATATAAGAAAGGGCGAGACTACGATTCGTAGCGGTTTAACTTCGTTAAACACTAAGTGAGAATAATTATTGATTATTTTAAATACCGGTAAAAGGTGGCAACCCTGACAAAAAATGTCAATCAATAATTTTCTCCGAATTTCCATGAGATACGGATGCAATTTTTTTTTACACATAGGTAGTGTCTTATGCTATGGATTAAACTAAAAATTGGATCCGGATTTTTTAGAAAACGGCGGGAAAAAATTTTGAAATAAAATCGAAATAAAATTGATATCTTTGCAACAGTACAGTTTAGAAAGCTCAAAATGGTTTCTGATATAGCTAATTTTTGAGATCTTTTTAGGTGTAACATCATTGCATTTAAAACGCGTACAGTTTTCTTGCAATATATTTTCTTAATTTTCCGGTACTAAAAAATTGCCAATTTTCAATATTTCTTTTCTCCTAAACTAAATAAGATTGGCACGTGAAACTCTTACAGATGCATTTGTGATATGAAACTCTATACAATAATGGAAAAAACAGGTATGTGTCCGCCGTGTGGGACGCCCTTACTTTCCCACAGTGCCGGAGCGATAGACAGAGTGGGCACACCTTCCTCTAAGGTTTGGACAATTTTATAAGGCATATTCTGTAAAAACAACATGATAGTAAGTAAGTACATACATTTAAAGTATTTATTCAAGATACAATAAATAAAAAACAACAGATATCACGTATAGTTATAAACTACTATACCTACTACTACTATCTAGTTATCGTGGAATGCCACCAAAATTGAATAGGCTAACAAACCATAGCGTAAGTATTACCTGATACTTTTAACCTAACATTCATTTAAACACAAATACCTATAACACAAACACAAAAGTACTACCGACTATAATAGCACTATCGCGAGTCTAAATTGACGCTATTCTATAATGGAATACGAGTATTAAAGTTAAGTAAGCGTTTGGTCGACCGTCTTACTTGCTACTTGGCAAAAAACTGATGATCTACAACGAACGAAAACAAACAAGCATAGCGCTCAAACGACCCGCCTCCACCCGCGCCCCTGCCGCAGGGGACAGTGCCGACGCGACACACGGTGCAGGTGGGACGGGTCGCGTTGCCAGCATCACGTTGCAGATGAAATAAAAAAAATAATTATATAATAGTCAGTTATAAGTATAGTTCACCAAATAAAATCATTATGTGACCATAA